TTCCTGCCTGAGCAGGGGGTTGGACTAGACGATCTCCAAGGTGCTTTACAATTTTATTATTATTATTACCCCTGATCAAGTAAAATCGTTGGCAGTTCAGTGTGCCCACCAAAAGCTAGAAAGGCAACAGAAACAGAAGGAAAGGCTAATGTCCTTAAAACTTTCCCAGGTAGAAGTCCCTCAACCTTTAGCCCTAAGTAATCCCTGTCCCCACAGGAGGAAAAACTCCCCTGCTATCAAGGCTTGCAAAGGGGATACACAATTAGCTCAGCCTGAAACAACTGTGGGCAGATTGGACATTGGCACAATCAATGCCCATACAATCACTTAGCCTCTCCTACCAACCTCCATCAGTAACCTTGCAGCCTCCAAACCAAACCATGCCATGGGAGGGACTGGGAAGCGTTTTCTACCCCTCTTATCACTTGATTAAGGCTGTTGGGCTCAAGTGTATTCATATATATAGAAACGTGTTACTTTTAATATTATATTGTGTACTTTCACAACAGCATAGTACTACTGGATTTTCTGCTTCACAGTTCCTTAATCTGCTTACTAAATATACTTGAGATTGGTAGCATTAATCTACATGATTTCTAGTTACATCTGATCAGTGCTGGAATCTATCCCCTGTAGAGTAAGAAACAAACAGGGAAACAGTTGATATTCAAAAACCATATTTTAAAAGGGAATTGCTAAGTAAAATACTAAAGTGCCATCTGGCGGCCATCTGAGAGTTAACTGTTGCAAGCATCTGCTGCAGATTCAGAGAGAAATTGCACATAGATACCACATGCGTGTGATGATTCCTTTCTCCAGGTGGTCATCCCATGCAGAATTTGATAACAGCTAATGCACCAGATATAAACTAAAAGTAGCAACTTACCAACTGCTATAAAATTTGAGTTTCATTTAGCAACATGCCTGTATTTAGATTCTTTTCAGCCTCTGGTGTGCTCAATAATACAAAACAGGTTACATATATATAAAAAGAATAAGCTGTAAAATTAATTGGGCTTAGCAACTGGATGGCTGTGCGTTTTTTTGCATATGAATACACAATTTAGCTAAATTTTGGGCAAGAGTCATGGATAAATGGAAAGTAAAGTTAGTAAGTAAAATTGATTGGAAATTTGTTTCAATGTGAGGTTTTCAACTCTTGACTGTTTGCCAGCATAAACAAGCAATATAACAAAATATGTTTAACAGTTTTGAAAATCACTTTCCCACATGACCAAAATCTTAGCCCTTATAGCAGTGATGGCGAACCTTTTAGAGACCGAGTGCCCAAACTGCAACCCAAATCCCACTTATGTATTGCCGGGTGCTGGGTGGGCGTGGCCCGCTGAGTGTGGCTACGGTGGTCATGGCAGATGGGTGGGCGTGGCCAGGATGGGCGTGGCCAGCTCAATGTTGCTCCTGGGGAGGGACACCTGTGGGGGCCGGGCAGCGTTGGGGGAGATCCAGGGGGTCTCTGGCGGGTAGGGCGGTGGGCAGGAGGCTCATCCTGCGGGGAGAGGCAAGGCCAGGCGAGGCAGGGCGGGGTGCCATTGTCACAGGGCAAGGCGAGGCAGGGGCCCGGGTGGCTGCTGCCTGACACCATCAGCCCCCGCACACAGGCTAGCGAGCGCATGGGTGCTGGGATGCATCCGGCCATGTGGGACCTCAGCGAGTTAGTGGGCGGCTGGTTGAAGAGGACGGTTGCCATCTCTAGGGCATGGCGCGCGTGCCCACAGAGAGGGCTCTGAGTGCCGCCTCTGGCACATGTGCCATAGGTTCACCACCACTGCCTTATAGGATACTTCGGTAACTTCCTCCTAAGATTGTAGTAGGAAGAGCAAAGTCAAACCAAAAAAATGTCCTCCTTTATTTAGGAATTATCATTTTAATTAGGTATCTAGCACATCTAAATAGGTTGAATGAACCAATCAGGAGTGCTGGTATATATTTTTGGGAAGAGATGTCAGATTTAACTGGATATCAGCATCTTTAATTCACTTCAACCTAACTATTGCACTCTTGTATTTTCTTGTAACTTTATATTCTCTTTGGAAATTGCAAACATATACATACTTACTACCAACATGTACATTGTACCTGATGATTACAAAGACTCAGAAATATTCACAGCCAGCCCTAAATCTATAGTAGATTTAGATACATAAAAATCCAAACAGCATGAAAGGCTGGTCTGATGCAGGTAAGAATCAGGAGGAAAAGTTCAATTGCTGTTGTGCAGAAAAAAATATCCTTATTTCTGAGCATTGAAGTAAGATTTGGAATTCAGGAAATGCATTTAAAAGTCAACAATTGAACCTGCCGAATTTCTCAGCAAAAGAGTGCCAATATAAGAAGAGACTGGACAGCCATTTGTCTGAAATGGTATAGGGTTTCCTGCCTGAGCAGGGGGTTGGACTAGATGACCTCCAAGGTCCTTTCCAACTTTATTATTATTATTATTATTATTATTATTATTATTATTATTATTATTATTATTATTATTATTATTATTATTATTATTATTATTATTATTATTTTATTAAAGCCACAGAACAACTCTGAAGAAATAGAATAAGGTGGTACTCTGTGTTATTTCAGCAGTAGCAAAACAGTAGGATATATATACTTTAGAAGCTTTCCTTTATTTCCTATGGTGGTTCTGTATATTGGACAACAGAAGAACGTGTGAGATAAAATAAAGATGGTTAAGAAACTAGGGACTGGGATCCCATAATGAAACTCCATGTTCTATAACTGAAGCAGAAAAAGTGATGGGAAGTAGCGTCACCATTAACTCGGATGAGAGGCCACCTAGCAGTTGTTATATCGGATGCCAAAAAAATATAAACCATGTACCAGGTGAATGGCTTGGCAACAAACTGGGATTGTTTTGAACTTCCCTATTGCTCTTGTGGTAGAATCATGAATTGGGCATACTATAAAAGAAATATAAGTAGTCAGATTGGTTCAGAGAAGTTCAGCCTGACTATACGTAGGGCTTATCAGAAGAATTACCCGTTGCCAATTGTTAGGAACAATGAAATGCAGGAGAAATTGTTATTGCTACTTTGCTATGTTATTTGGGTGAATTGCAAGTTGCCAACAGAAAATTAGCACTTCCACTTGAGTAGACCTTTGGAATCCTACAACAGAAGTTTACAAGTTTCTAAGAATAAAAGTTGTGAGTCTAGAGTACGCAGAAAGGTAAGCATTTTAAAAACCAACAACAACAATAACAATAACAATGCTGTCTAAGTTTCAAGAAGCTGGCTGAATACTTGTACTAGGATGAGAGGTCTCAAATTTTTCTACATTCTGAATACTTTTGGCAGCAATGGGACATTAGTATCATAACTGTCTTCTGAAAATTGAAAACACCGAAATGTTTTGTCTGTCTATCTGCCTAATTTATATAGTTGCTCATCTCACAAGCAAGTGACTCTAAATGGCATCTAACAGATAAAACCTCTGCTATCTTCTTTCAGCACAAAGTGGAGAGCCCTGATAAAGATGCTGATTGAAAGCAAAGGGTAACAGTCTGAAATTTCATTCTGTCTTTGGACATCAATAGCATTTTTCCAAATGTCCATGGGAATCACACCTCTCTTCCATTTACACCAATGTGTGGCTTTAACATCTTCAGAGCAAGTTCATTTCTTTGATTTGTAGAGGTTTTGCCTCATATTCAGCTATGATCTGAATATTTCTAAAGTAGGGACATTTTTTCCTTAATCATGTGCTTTCTCCAATAACCTTGGATGGGGTAGTGCTTCCTCGTTCAACAATAGTACACAATCTGGGGTCTTCCTGGACTCACTATTCCTGCTTGATTAGCAGGTAGCAGCTCTGGCTCAGAAGACCTTTGCCAAAGTTCATCTGGTACACCAGCTGCACTCTTCCCAAAGTCAGGTGGACCTTTAGGAAGTCATTCAGGATCTGGTCATATTGTGGCTTGACTATTGCAATTAATTTTGCATGGGACTGTCCTTGATGACCATCCAGAAGCTTCAACTGATCCAGAATGTAGTGGCATGGACACTACATCTCTCAGTATGCCATGTAACATCTTTACCCTATGAGTTACATTTCCTAGAGCCCAGTTAGTTGAGGACTGCCTGTCTCCCATAATAACTGTCTGGTTGATTCAGTCCCACAGAGATAATCCCTGCTATCTTAATTAAACATACAGTAAATGTTAGTCACCACCACCATCCCTACCTATTTGATCTGCAAAAGTACATTGTTCAATAATAACCATAAAATACTTTCATGATATATACAAGAGGTGCTACCAAAGTATGAGTTTTAATTTCTAACTTATCCATATAGAAATTATAAACTTTCATCCACGTTAAATGCTAATGGTTTTAAATGTAAGGAATTTGCCATTTTTTGTTCAAGCTACTGACAATAATGATGTCTATCTATCTATCTATCTATCTATCTATCTATCTATCTATCTATCTATCTATCTATCTATCTATCTATCTATCTATCTATCTATCTATCTATCTATCTATCTATCTATCTATCTATCTATCATCGTCTCCTTATTTATAACTCCATGCCAGCAATTGTCTGCAGTCCTTATAGTCTTGAATGGATTCTTCTATGGTCCTTATGGTGAAAATAATTCAGTCCTGCCACTAGAATTATGCAGTTATCCATGAACAATTCCTGTAGGTTAAATCAGTACTGGAATGTCCTTGGAACAACTGTTACATTATTCATCAAGACAGATCAGAATGGCAGACATTTCAAGAACTGAACATGACTCAATTGAAATTAACAGACTAATTCTTAAAGTGTTGTGCTTTAGGGACAACTGTTGATAAAGAGGCATGTCCAAGTGGGGTCAAAAAATGGCAAAGATGAAGCTACATGTTTGTCACATGAAAAAATGTGCATTTGATTATGTGGTCATTTCTGCCATCTTGACTTTTTGAGCCCACTCCTGGGTTGATAGTTCTTTTCTGATTAGGTTTGGAGCCACAACTTACCTGATAATATTTGTATTTGAAGTATCTGAATTTCCTTGGTCAATTGACATCTGTGAAGAAGCCTGTTAAGTGTTGTTCCCAGTGAAGCATTACTGAACGATGCTTGATGGACATTTTATTTGGGGGGGGGGATTTCCCTGGTACAGCCCACCAGCTTTGGGAAATTTCAGTGTAAACTTTCTCCTTTGATTTATTTCTCTATTCCAGTGAATTCAACAAATGCTAGAGGTTTCAAATCAGTAATTCTCAGAGCTGTTTTACTGCATGTGTTGTTCTAGGATCTAACCCAACTTTTTTGCACAAATTAAGCTTCACGCACAAATAAAGCTTCACGCACGAGCGCATGCGCCCACCACTTGTGCAAGTGGAGCTGGATGCACTTGTGCAGTTGTCCGCTGCTTGTGTGACCTGGTTCCAAACCGTGGCCCGGTTCTGAGCCGTGGCACAGGGGTTGGGACCCCTGTACTAATCAGTTGAGAAAAGGGGACATTGACTTTAAGAATATGGTATAAATATTAATCAAATTAAGCTAAACATTCTTTATGAGGCCTTTCCTAGAAATTAGAAACTGAGTAATTATCCTGCAGGTATAACACGGTTATGGCACCAAGTCAACGAATGCTTTGGATTCATATTTACCGTACTTATTTGTTTGTCTATTCACATGATCGTTGAAATAGGCAGAGAGGCAAGTTTAAAAAACCATTTTATTAGACAAATTATTTAGACAAATTATACACAGAAAGCTCTGCCACTTGCAACCGAGGCCTCCAAATTGTGTTTGTGTATAATAGACAACACATGAAAATAATTGGATTATCACTAAAACCGCTGCAACATCTGGTATACCCCTATAGCTTGTAAAGATTTTTTTCCCCTTTTTTTGTTCTTTTTTTTTCTTTTATAAATCAGTTGTGTAGATGTTCATGAACGTTACAAGGGGAAACAAGTTGTGCATGCTTTTAAACACTTGTACCCTGGAAACAGAATGGCCTTTCTCATGATAAGAAAATTGTTCTGCCTTACACAGTAGACAATATTATGCAGATTTCATACAAAAAAAACAAGGACATTACAAGATGTTCTCCCATAACAGAATTAGGCATCAAAATAGAATAGATTTGAAGAATATACTTTGAATTTTTCCTAGAGCAGATCACCTAAGCTGGTTCTTATAATCAAGTCCTATCCACATAACTGAGTTAGATTAACATAAATATCATATCAAATTAAAACAAACAAAAACACGTAATAAGTTGGCTTGCTTTCTACTTAACCGCAGTTTAGTTTATAAGAATTACAACCGAAGTTCATTTTTACAGTTCTGAACAAGTAGAGTGTTAGCTTCAAAAATGTCACCAGGCCAAAGGAGGTGCCGTTTTGTTTTTGCTGTCATCAGCTTATCATTCTATACAATTGGAACTCACATCAAAAATACATCTATAATTGAATACGTAATAAAGATTTAAACAAAAGCTTATTTTTCTCTCTCCCCATTCCCTCTTTCTTGGAGCACAATAGGACTGTAGTTAAGGCCACACCAATCATTTTCAACAGCCTTCTTTCCGTTAACTCTCTTCTCTTTTCCAAAGATTGACAGTATTGATTTCAATAGGGCTTATTCACCTTGCATGATCTGTTTTTCATGCTCCTGAGAGCCAGTAAATCAGACATATCTGGATATGTATTTGTGTTTTTAACCTAATGAGCGCTTTCCAATTTTGCAATTTGATGTAAAAGCATGATTAACCATAACTTTCAACACTGTTGAATAGTGATCGCAAAAAAATAAATAAAAATAAAAATAAATCTAAATTAGTGACTTGCACATTTAGGTACAAATGTTAAATTGCCCTGGATGATCTAATAAAAAAAAGGAACAGTATAAAATACGTTTAACCAAACAATGTAAATCAGAATAGCATTAAAGCACCCCATCTCTTTGCTCTGTACATCTTTCCAGAATACACTTGTTTTTACTAAAGCTTTATTAGACAAATTGCAATAGCACTGGCTGCCATTTTATAGATATATAATATATGTGTGCGCGCGTGTGTGTGCACATGTATATACATATATACCCTCCCACACACGCCCACTCACATATACCAAAGCATGTATATATATATATAGGTGTATATATATGTATGAGAGACTAATTTATTTAACAGAAGATTCTGCCATATGATACAGTTCTCTGTACATAAGAAAACAAAAACTTTTAAACTCTGTACAATTCCAGAAAGATCATATGCACTGTTGCAGTGCAAAAAGGAGATTTAACTGTAGTCTTTACTGGCATAGCAATGGCTTGGTGAAATTCTACAAAATTGCATTCTCATATTTAATGGTCTCTCCCTTCTCTTTACCGTTTCTCTCATTTTCGTTTTCTTACAAAAACTGCAAGGTTGGCCTTTGGTCCACAGTTAAAAGGACGCACAGTAGCAGAGAAGCATGAAATGGATTTCAGAGAACAGACATTATTGCATATATATATATATATATATATATATATATATATATATATATATATATATATATATATATATATATATATATATATATATATATATATAATAAAACCAATTCAAAGGTATTTCAGTGAAATAACATTGTATTTTTGATACAGACTCCATATTTAGTTCCTATATTTCAAGTGTTATGACATAATGCCATGTAGACCTTCAGATTCATTTCCAGAATGGTGCTTTGGAACGGGTGGGAATACAAGCATAGCACCTGTATGAATATTTAAACACTTGTTTTTTTTCTGGGATCTTAAACCTGCTACACAATGCCTAAAAAAGACATGGCTGCTTTACAGAATGGCAAACAGTTGTTACATTTACATCCTGGTGCGCTCAGAAACAGTCTACTGAAATCATAATTGAAGACCTGCACAGCTGAATAACCACTAATACAATTTTAGGAGGATAGCAGGTAGCTTTCCTACAGTAGCTCAGGTTGCATTTACTTCAGAGTAGTCCCACCAGCCTGATGGTTACAAAGCTAAGTCACGATACGTTCTAGAAAAGACTTACTCCAGAACCACTTTAATTTAGCCAATGTGCCTACCCTAAGGAAACTGAAAAATCACGGCCTAACATAGTATAAGAGAGAAAAATGAAAAAGAGGAGGGCAAGAGGAAGGATAATGAGTTGTTACTAACACTCCCGATTTCTTTTAAAAAAAGTTACATCCAAGTTAGTTCCACAAT